ATTTCAAGTAAAATGTTTCCTTTTTTTTTTTTACAAAAATATTCAGTTTTATTTCAAGTAAAATGTTTCCTTATGTGTCACTCCTCTGATGGTAGTGCCTGTGGTGACCTGCACATCCCACCAATGCCACTGTTGATAGGTTACATTGTAATAAATTAATTGCAAAATGTCTTGATTGAACTATATTGAATATCAAGAATAAAGTTATGGAACAGTAAAAATTATTTAGAGAAATAGTTTAAAATAACAAAGTTTTATTTTGAGAAAATGGTACTTTCTACAAAAAAGTACAAAATCATAACCACATTACAGAGTTGTAGCCCACAACTTATGAAATTTCATTCTTATTGCCAAGATTTTTTATTTAGGTATTCATTCCATAGTTGTATTAAAGACAGTGAGATAATTCAATGAAAATATCCATATAATATTGTCTAATGAACTGAAAAATGGATCAACCATCTATATTTCAGCTCTATATATATTATTGTGAAATAAAAATAAATTTTATATTAATGAGTGTGCGCTGAAATTTTCCTTCTGAACTTATCTTAACTGAATAGGTAAATTTGAGTCTTTGTACTAAAAAAAACATAATTTCATAATTTCAATTCATATTATACATATCAGTAGCACGTTTGTATATGCACATGTACAAATATAATGAAATGATGAAAAAAGTAAAAATTCACCATTAAATAATTCTATATTATAAAATTAACAAACTTACAAATGCAGAGCAACATACAGTCATTTTACAATAACAATGAAGAATGCAATAGCATTCCCTGCCATTCAGTCTATATTGTCTAAGAGGATTTATCAAGAATCCATTATACATTTTAGCTGTTAAACAGCAAAATACCAAACCTTGCATACATGTGCCACAAAATGTCAAGTAATTTCTCTGCTAAGCTATTTTGCAAGGGAAGCACAATTAATAAATGCAGTAATTATAATTAGGTTTTTTGCAAATTGCACATTGCGGAATCACTCTAACATGGTTCACATCAAAACTCTCATAAACATTCATAAGTACTACTTTCAAAGAATAATGCTTTTTCATAAAAAACATAGTCTGTTTCAAATACCCAATAGTTCTCCTGCATACTTAATACAAGAAATATTAATGCTTCTAATTTATCATGTGTATGTAGAATGAAATATTGCTGTAAAATACTTAATTATTTATCACATGAATAGGAAATGAAATTTCATTCCAAATAAATAATTAAAACTAATAGATAAGATTCATTTATTTTCAACCTCCTTATCCCTTTAGTGTCAGCATAAGATGCAATTTAAAGGTCACTTCACAAAGAAATATTGTATTTATAAATACCAAAATTATTTTTTCTAAAGGTAGCACGAAAAATCAATGGATTGTTGAAACAGCCATATCTCATGCTGTACATTCTCCTGGTAAGTAAATTAAGAATTTTTAATAAATAAATATTCTAAAATATTTTCAGCAACATATAATATATAAATATATCTTTAAACCTCAAATAAATAAATAAACATTTAATATTAATTAAGTCATGTTAACCTCTGGAAACCAGCCAGAAGTACTTTAAAATGAAAGGTGAATGTCATCTTTTGTTTTGTAAAGAAAATGAAAATATATTTTGGCAAGATATGAATATATAGATATGACAGATACAATATTATACATTTATCTTCACATTTATTCGGATATGTATGACAACATAGTAAATATTTCTTATTAAATGCTCTATCATTTTACTTATCACTTTTTCTGAGTTCTAAAAATCTGCAGCACACTCAAATTGCACAATTCAATTTCAGCAGCTTTAAAAAGTCCCACTAACATATCAACAGGGTCTATTACCATACATTCACACTGAAGATTAAAGCTACAAAACTATGAGCACAATACTACCTTGTAATTCTAAAACGCCTCTGAAATATCTATAGCCACATTACTTACAGAACAGTCAAATAAATCTGTAAAAATGAATACACAAACAAAAAGTATGGCAACAGGCTCTTAGGATAGCTATTACAGAAATTAAGACGACAACTTCACACATAGTCGGAGGCAGCAGACTTAAAAAGTTGTGGTTAACAAAATGAAGCAGAAATGTTTTCCACACAATATTGCAGAATGACCTCAGTCTGTCTAAATCAGCAGCGAGTGAGGCAATGCGAACCTACGCCTTCTTATGCATACCTATTCTTGAAAGCAGAAAAGAACTCTCCCATAATTAATGGAATAGGTGGTGCTCACCGTCACAGAGGACATGAAGTGTTAGTTATTCTTAAATTTTTGATAGCTTAATAATGCACGTATAATGGTTGAAATTTGTTTATTTTCAGCTTTAAGCATTTATTGGCAGTAAAATGTTTCTGAAATACCCTGCCATTTGCAGCACCCAATTCAGAGCAAATCATGAAATTTACTCATCCCTGTCCTCTGGAATCTAGTCTGTGTTTTGTACAGCACATTGTGAGCACAAAATTCATTTGAAGTCATTCCTGCGTTCTTTGTTCTGATTCCTTTATCCTCTCTCCAGGTCTTTGAGATGTTGACAAACATCATACATTTACAGGCCCTGCTACCCTCTGCTCCAGTCAATGAATCATCTAAGACTGTTCTTTATCATTGTAGCTCATTGGAAGCAACATGGAGTAAACTATTAGACCCACAGTACATACAGAGATTATTCTCTCAAATTGGATTTGCAATTAATGCAAGAAAATTGTGATGCTATTACATCTTCCAAGAGAAAATTATATCAAAGAAACACATGTATCTTACATATAACTAAATATATTTAAAAAGAAACCTTTTTGGTTGCAGTGCAACCCAGCTTTAACTGGAAGGCACCACCACTGCTAAATGTTCTGAGAATTTGAAAACCAAATCATTTTCTCTACTTACTGGGTGGTTTTAGATTTCAAGCAACAACCTACAACTAATTTCCTGTTAGTGATGTGCGGTAATGTGTTCAAACAAAGCAATGGTTTCCAGAAGATCAGTCGGAATATTTCTACAACAAAAAACATCACTTCCTCAATTAACTATCTTCAAAGCTCAAGACTAAAGAAGTCAACTTCCTTCTGTCAAAAACAAGTAACTCAATTGTAATAGAGTTTCTTTTCGTGCTGTATCACAATAATTTCAAGAGTGGCTTACAGAAAAAAAAATGTGAATAATTGTTTTCCAGTATCTCTGGATTTGAAGACCTAAATGGCTTCAGAGGAAGAAGAAATGCTGAGTCAATTTTCTTTCCTCTATTTAGCTACACTAGAAGTTCTAGAGTACTACATTTTATTTACCTTATCTGTGAAAAATAAATTAATGCAATAATAATAATAAGAAGAAATAAATTAAGATAGAGCATATAAAAAATGAGAAATTTTGCTGAGCAATGGGCAGGAATTTTCTGAAAGCCAGATACTCTTTTAGATAACATCCATTAAGTATGAGTTTCGTTTGAAACAACAAACATGGGCGCAGTAAAAGAAAAACAATTACAAACAACAGTTATAATAATAATTTGCAATGCTATCACTTCATCTGAGAAAATATAAAATTTTAATTGTTTAAAAAAATTCAAAAACAAAATTGTAGAAATTAAATTGTCGTTCCACAAAACATTTTGGTACATATGTAGTAAATTTATAGCAAGCAAAATTTCTTTTATGCATTATCTCTTAGTAACTGACATGTAAAGTTCTTTTAATTGATTCAAGAACGAAAAGATATATAAAAAGGAAAGTTTTGATCCTCAGGTACAAAGCTGGTTGATCCCACAGAAGGAAAATGCAAGCTGTTCTTGCCATCGGATGGAGCAGCCAGAAAGTGCCAGACTCCTGTGCACACATGAACACACTGGCACAAAACAATCACTTCACTATTCTGGAGACACACATTCTTCCTTACCAGAACTGTCTTCTGCCTTATTTTATCTTGAGATACATTAGTTCACTAGTTTGCAGTCAATGAACTGATGCTTAGAAACTTCTGTTATTCAAATATACATTATTTTTTCTTTTAACTAGTGTTTAAATTTTAGAAAGCATAATGTCAAACATGTCTTCCTACTCATTGTTGATGAAAATATAGATTTAGCAATACCTTTCCTACATTATATAATCTCAAATTATTAGTATAGTGCAGTTTTATTTGATTCAATTAACATCTGGATGTTAATTTGTATCTACAAATATTCACAATGATAAGAACCAATTTACAACTTTTCAACAAACAATTTACAAAATAATAATTCTTCTTCTGATTTACACTAATTTTTAACTTCAAGCATTTTTAGAAAATAAGATGAAAAATTAAAAAACCTATTATCTTACATTGAAACTACAACAGAAACAGAAAATTCAACTTTGACATTCCCTTCCCTTTTGTATTTACTATTCCTAATTAAAGCATTAAGTATATAGTACATGAGTGAAAGAATCTAATACCTTAAAACATCCAATATATCCTCTCAAAAAAAAAGTTCACTATATTTTGTACACTTCTATTCTGAAAATAATAAAAATAATGGGATGTTTGCCATTAATTGCCTGTTGTGTTATATTAAAACATGCACATGTTGATGATGATGTTTATTATAGTGCCCAGTACAAAAATGTTTCTTGCATTTGTTTAAGCAAAATTAGTAGACTAGTCATTTAGAGGTAGGTGGAACAGTGCCAGAGTCAGAGATGTTGGCATTTTCTTTTCAATCTGTCCAGCGAACTATGTTTATTCATTTTTGCTGACCCAACACCTCATTCAAAAAATACATATATTTGAAAATTAAGCTTAGGGTGATTCGAAAAATATCTTCACCTTCTTTTTTTTTTTTTTTTTTTTTTTTTTTTTTTTTTTTTTTTTTTTTTTTTTTTTTTCTAAATATAATATATTCATGGGTATTTTCCATGCAAAGTAGCAGCAAGCCAGTAGTCTTCTGCAGACTAGCAAAGTGATTCAGTCTAGTATTTTTGAATAAGTCAGTAAAGAGCTTTACTGACTTATTCAGTCAAACAGTCACTCATAGTCTCAAATTAATGGCAGACAGTAATGTAAATACAGTAAAATCTGTCTAAGCTGGAATCGATTGAGACAAAAAAGTTCCAATTTAGGGTGGTTTTGGTATTATGCAGTGTTGTCCATTTAACAACACTTGTAATATTGATATTTCCGTTCTGAAACTAGCAGGCATATTTTTTTGCCATGTTAAATTAGTTTATGTTTTAATGTCACAAAAGTTACAGATGTTTCGTATTATAGGAAGGAAGCCAAGACATCCTCCGCAATCCTATGAAAATGATCTTTCATTGTTTCATAATTACCAAAGACTGCCAAAAACTAGTTATCTCATATTTGATCACATACACCCCATCAAGCATAAGGCAGAACACAAGTAGCTCTAATGATTAATTTAATATTCTTTTACATAAATAATATGAAAATAATGTTTAAATTCTTTAAAGACAGATCAATCCATTACAATTACTTTTGAGGAATAGGTAGTTCATGATCCAACTGAGAATGTTATCTATGCCAATCTGCTGTCAATGAAGAGTGATATTTCATTTCAAGAGTATTACATAGCCAATAAGGGAGACCAAACTAAAAGACTCTTCAGATGTTGGGAAATATCTCCTGTATTAGTGCTCAAATTTGAATATGATTATCATCAAATACAGAAAAGAAACTTAAACGTGATCCTATTAAAACATTGTCACAACAAACGAAACAGATATGAATGTTTTACTAAAAGAAGGTCTGGATCCACAACCAACCCCCCTTTGAACAGTTACAACGTAACTGAATTTCCTGATCCCAATGAGAGGGAGAATTTCCTTTAAAAATGCCAGTGTTATTGTCCATCAAATCTTGTTTTAACTTTGAATTATACCCTGAAATGATTTTCATTTTCCAACAAAATGGGCTTCTTAAGCAAAAGAATATTTTTGAAACATTTTATTTTCGAGAAGAATATTTTTTGAAATTTTCTTTGTATTAAGAATAGCAATGAATAAAAACAACTACTTCTAGCACTGCAAATTCAAAAAAAAAAAAAAATTTACAAAGGAGAGGGGTTCGAGGAAGCATTACGATATGTTATTTAGGGGTATGGGGAGTTAATTTAGCTTTATGCCTTGCTGATGTTTATTTTTTAATATTCCATTACCCACTATTTTTAACCAGTCTTACGCTAATTTAACAATGTATTTACATATTTAAAAAAATTAAAATAAATAAAAAAGGAATATCTTTCGTATAACTATATTTATACACAAGTAAAAACTCATGTAAAATATTTGAATTATTTAATTAATTATATAATAATTTATTAAATTTACTTACTTCGATGGAGCGGATTTTAATGAAATGTCATTTTTTTTCCTTTTCAGTTTAGAACAATGCCATTTAGAATAGAAATTAATATTATGTTAAGACAAAAGGAAATAAGCCATTTCATTGGTATTGTTTGGCAATTTTTACTTATTTCGACTAATAAGTAATTTTTTTACCTTTTCCTGTCATTTTTAATGCATTTTTCTCTGATTCCATCGATTTTACTATCACTTTAATGGCACTTGCCTGAAATAATATTTCTGAGATGCAAAAAATGTTCTTCTCAGAAATCCTGAGAACCCTATTCAATTTCTTCACTCAGGAATTGTAATGTCAGCTGTTGTATGTAACCTAAAGTTCCTGTGATTTCTAACAGCACCAGTCACTTTGGAAGATTTCCAAATAACTTAAGAAAAATATTTCCTGGTAAGGAACAGTCCATACCAAAAGTAAGCAAGCTGAGTTCACTTGAAAGAAAGGAAGAAGTCTCAATTACAACAGTAACATATCCAATATCATTTGAACTGTTCATTTGAATTGGTTTTGATCACATTTTTTATTGCTTTTAGAGCATTTTAAAAACATTTTAAGAGCCTTTTATTGATATTTTTGGCAATGTTTTAGGGCATTAAAATACACATCTACTTATTACAAATTCAAAGGGGGTGTACTGCAAGCTTTACTTCATTATTTAAGGGAGAAAAGGAAGTCAGTGTTCTATCATTTCTACACAACCTTTCTGCTTGCATATTTCCATAAAGATGGTCATGCGAACCATCTTTCACAGAAACCTTTGCGCATTGATACAGAGATTCGTTAACTCATGTACCGATTAAAAGAGTTTTAAGGTGTCTGATAATATTTTAAACCCAACAACACAAAGTTACATATTAACATCCAATTCATATTGACTTAAAAGGATTTGCTTCATTTTTGTCCTTGAGAAGGCAAATTTTAATTAAAATGACATTGCTTGACATTATTTTTCTAAGCATTTTCTGTAGAAAGAACTGTGACGTTACTTCCCCATCAGAGGCCAAAAGAGCCACTGGTGGGTGGAATGGGATATCAGAACTCGTCATGGAAACTTCTTGCTGTGTCTACCATTTTGCTGCCTAAAAAGAGATCCATTTTGTTCAACACTTCTCCCAGAGACAAGTGCTGGTCACCGTCCACATCAGATAGAGACAAAAGAGTCTCTGCTTCCTCTCGAGCATGACGAGGGTTCCGAGGATCTATATACATCTGCAACAGGATGCACATTGTTTTCTTTTTAAATTAGCAAAAATACTGGCAATTGCCCTTACACAAAGATACATATTTTGAATCCATTCGTAAACAATGTAAGTTTAACAGTAATCATGTAATCGTCATCTCGAAATCAATTTTACGCAGCATTACTCCGTAAATAAGTAAGTATACAGGAAAGTAAAAATGTTCAACATTTTCCTAGATCTTTAAATAAGTATCAGAGGATGAATTTGGATGAAAGTAAACTAAGCCCATTATCAACTGTGTTTACATAACTCTACTGAATCAAAAACTACCTTTGCTGAGTCCTAATTTAGCACTTCCCTTATGATATAAAACATTATCAATCAAAAATCATATAAATTAAATTCTCCATGACTAGCTAATTTTCTCATTAAATTCTATACAACAAAAAGTGGTTATCAAAAGGACGAAATTTATGTATTACTCCCGCAAGTTTTCTTGATACACGAGCTCCCTAGTCCTCATCCAGCGCTGAATAGCACGGCACGTTGACATACTTAGGTTTGACTCGGAACGGCACGTACTCATTTACAATGCTGGCAACAACCATCTCGTACTTTCAAAACAATCGTAGCATTACTAGTGCCATGATTTGGCGAATTAAGTTCATGCCCACAGTTGGTACGCCCTTTTCAACCGTGACGTAGCCACATCCTTCCTCTCCCCGCACCCCCCGCTGTGGAATATCAAGAAAACTTGCGCGTATAGTAGGTTGTTCTTCGGCATTGTTGCAGTATCCTTGCAAAGTTTGGAAAAAAATTAATAAAACACAAATACGGAAGATAAATAATTTAAATATAATGTTGATAGAAGCACGGCGATCATTATTTCTCGCTTAACACTTAGAGAAAATTGGTTCCTAATATATTCCGCTACAGACCAGTAGCAGTGCGTAAGATAAACTAGTGGAGCTAAAACATCACATACTTTCTCGTATTATTGGAAACAGCTAACACCTCAGCCAATACTTGAAAACGTCCGATTCAAAAAGAAAGCGCCTGTGTTGCATATCTGTAATCACTTCGATAGTAAGGAGCAGCAATTATTTTTTACATTGATGGAACAAACAGAATATTTAACTGATTCAGTTTTCGTGGCATATTATACAGCAGAGAGCAACGCACTGTTGCCAGCGCAACGTTGTCAAAACTACGTGCATTCGCATAGCGAATATTAACAATACTGAGCAAAAACGTTTATTTCGATCTCTATAGAAATTACAATTTTTTTATCGGTTTGTCGTAGTTCGTCACACACAGTTGATAAGACGTACAAACAATTTCGCTCCTACCTGCGTAATTTTTTAATAAAAAAAGTTTAAATTAGTACATGCTCCTATGGAAAAGCTTTCGCCAGCATATTTTCTTTAGTCTTTGAACAAGCATTACGGTTAATGTACTACCTTTTCTTTTTACTAATTGCGCATATCAAAAGGAAATGTATATAGCTTTACCTACCACCAAAAATTAAACAAATGAAGCGCATTTTTATTTCGCATTCTTGCATATTTTTGGAATCTTTTCATTAACTGCATAGTTTTATTTGTGTGCCATTTTTAAGAGTATTATATTCGAGGCTTTTGAGTACAAGTGGGCTGAAAGCAAGACATTTTCGTTGTTTAATAACTTTTTGGTTTATTTTGGTATGTTTAAAAAAATATTATTACACACGTTTTGTACTTCAGTGTAAAATAAAGATTTATATAAATAAATGTTATCTGTTGCTCACTATACTTTTTAACGCATATTCTGAATTTTAAGCGCATGTATTGGCGTTTTAATTGGACGATTGCATTCATATTTTTTTAGTGCATCATGTTCCGGTGTCTACTCATGACAACTAGAAGAGCATTTGGGGTGAAAACTAAATATTTTGACGCAAATATCCACACAAATTTGACAATAACTCCTTTTCATACAGCTAAATCATGGCCCAACAATGAGACGTAATACACAGGAATGCGCTAGCGCGACACGGAATTGCATTGTTTCACTCTCTGCAATTCCCCGAAAGCTAGCAATTTTTACTTTCCCGTATACGTATGTATATACGGAGTAATATACGTAGTATAGGGAAAGTTATGTAATGCTGTGGAAGATCGATTTCGAGATTTCAACGGAAATACACGTTTTGTGGTTCCCAGATACCAAAAAAGTGTCTTCGCCCTTGTCAAAACATTCGTCCGTCTGTGAACACTATCACCTAAACCATGCGTAGGATTTTTTTCCAAATTGAAGAAACCCCTCTCCATCAGGCTCGAGTCAAGACTTTGGGATTTTAAAAATCATTCTTTAAAATTTGGAGGTAGTTTACATGAAGCCTTACGGACATTTTCAAAATTTTCTCAAAAACGGCTCCATTTTTTCCTTTAAATTTCTTGTCAGAATTAAGTAACATTCACTTATAAACGTGGTATAAGTCCCATTTTCGCGGTTAATTCTGAATTATCGAAAATTTCAAAAGTGTGAATGTCTTCCTACAACTACAAAATTAAAGATGGAGATTTTCCATTCAAATAAAATTTGTTCTCCATAGCGAGTTCTTTTATTAAGGTCATGCACATTTTTTTGGAAAGTTTTAGTAGCCTTCGCGTAATATTGCGTGCAATATGGGCAATTTAAAAAAAATACAAAAACCAAATTTCCTCAAATCCTGCTCCAAATATGTTCTTTAAATTTCTGGTATGGATATTGCTAAATGCACTCTATAAGATGACATAAGCGCCAAATTTCTGTATTATTTTGTTTTTCACAAATTTCAAAAATATAATTTTTTGACTTGTCTCTCGCGTTAATATTTACATTAGCGGAAATTTGAAGTCGTAGGCTTCCGCGACCAGAGTCATGTGGGTGATCTGGGCTGTCCGGGTGACGCCGCGTCGAAGGCTCAGCCTTCGACGCGGCGTCACCCGGACAGCCCAGATCACCCATTAGCGGAAATTTGTTTACATTATTGTATTTATGAGTTTATGTTTAATAAATAATGTCACAAAGTTTCTCGAAAACTCAACCGTTTACTGTGAAAACTCAAACATTTTGCAATTTCAGAAACGCTCAAACGCCGTTTTCTTTAAAACGGCTTCAAATGTTTTCTTTAAACTTTACGAAAGGATAGTGCTCATTGCACTCTTTAATATGACGTCAAGTTTATTTAGGGGTACTTTGTTTAAATAGACAAATGTAATTTTTTTGAAAGATCTCTCACGCCTTTAATTTACACATTTCCAACGATTTGTAAACACTACTGCATTTGTGACAAAGTACTTGAAATGACTTCATATGCAGTTTTTCGTAAACTTAATAGTTTTCTGTGAAGAGAGGTTCAAATTTCGCATTTTCAGTAGCGCTTAAAACCCATTTTCTTAAAAACGGCTCCATATTTTTCAAAGGAAATTGTCATTTAGGGCGAGGTTTTACTGTTTTTAATATCCTTAAAATAATATTTCCGTTCTACTATAATGAAACCGAAATATTAAGAAAATTAAAAAAAAGAAAAGTTTTTTGGGCGGCGATAGATGGCAGTTGGCACGAGTATGTGGCAAGTCTGAATCGCTAGCCGAGACGAAAAGTAGAAAACTAATGCGAGAAAGTCTGTGTCATTCTGTAGCACCACTAATTATGTCATATAATCCAAATTGGTTTTAAATAATTAATGTGTAAATATATAACAAATTTCGAATGCAAGAAACGAGCAAAGCAATATTAAATAACACAAATTCTGACTTACGAAGCATCCACGTGTGTGGAATCGTTCAGGATGCGCAGTAAAATCGCAACGGGCATTCAATTTTGTCGCCAATTTACACAAAAATACTACAATTTTTAAGAAAATTGAACATGTCCTTATTTGAAGATCAATTTTTGACAAACACACTTCATTTAAAAAGATGTATTTTCACAATTCTACTTATATGAAGAAACTGAAAACAATGCGCGGTCGCACAAGTTTTCTTGATACACAGGCTCCTTAACTGATGCCCAGCGCAAAATAGCACGGCCCTTCGAAATTCGCAGGGCCGACTCGGAACGGCACGTATCAATTTACAATGCTACCATCTCCCACCTCGCACCTTTAAAACAATCGTAGTATTTTTCGTGCCGATGTGTTAATTAATGGTTTGCTCATATATTGTTCCCATACTTTAGGAAGTTTTTGGCATTTGTTTGGTTTAACGATAACGGTTTACTGTTATTTGATTGACCAATTTATTGTTCTTTTCTCTTTAATGCGACACGCTTATTCATCTGGTAGAACATTCTATTTGGACATTTGAACACGGTTTTCTTTACAACTTTACGTGAATGTTAACTATGGCAGAGGCAGTCCCAGGGCCCTATCGGGAAACTCCGAGAACGCCGCCATCTCGCCGTATCCACACTCTTCATAGTGGGGAGAGGAAAATCATTGCTAACGTAGTGGGATGTTGTCAAAGAGGGAAAGAAAACAAGACGCCCTTTGCCCCTCTTAACCAAGCCTTAAAGAAGGCGACCATTCCCACGGGTGCAAGCATTGCATCCGTGAATAGAATAAAAAGATGAAGGTTTCGCACTCAAACTCCAAGCAAAAAGAGGTACTACTATCTTTTATACTAAATGAAATACATAATACGTTCTTATTTGGAAACTTTTAGTATGTTTTAGGTTTTTGCAAAGCATAAGTACATGAAACTTTTTTTATTTGTTGTCAGAACAAGAACACGCAGGAAAATCCAACGAGCCATTAGGGACACTATTCATGATTTTTACACTGCCCACACCTACAATAACTAAACTTCTTCCAGTGCTAAAATAAAAAATCAATTGGAATTGGGGTCCTTCATCACTACGAACCATTTTGAAATATATGGGATTCGTTTGGAAGCACAGAGAACAAACGCAAATTATTGTTAGAACGAAGTGATATTGTAAATTGGAGATCTCGATATCTGGTCAGAATGAAGCATCTTAGAGAGGAAGGATGGGAGATTTTTTTATTTAGTTGAATCGTGGATAGACTACAATTTGACGATAGGAACGTGCTGGCAAAAGGAGAATGACATTTTATGCAGTTCGTCGGGCAGCTCTACAAAACGACTCATTTTTGCTATTGCAGATTGTCGATATGGTTTTGTTGCTGATGTTAACCTAATAATGAACGCGAACTTCACAAAGGGGGGTCCATAGGCAAATGAACTCCAATTGTGAAAAATGATTTAATACGCAATTACTCCCAAATGTACGACCCGCATCCATCAGTCATGGATAATGCCCCATACTCTTCATAGTTCAGTATAGATTATGACTAAGTATGCATTATGATTGTAATTAGCACACAATTTCCATTCTGTATAAAAAAATGTTTTTAGAGTAAATGTTCACTCACCAGTAATTCCTTTCTATCTGCCTTTCCATTTTTATCCACATCTATAACTTCACGAAATTCACGACGTCTTTCTGCTTCTCCTTGTCGCATTCGCTCTCCATCTTCTTCATTATCAGGTTCTGTTGGCAAACTTGCAAATTCTTCTTCAGTCAACTGTTCATCACCATCGCGATCTGCAAGGAAGAGTGTAGTTATGTTGAATTACCTGTAACTTATAACGAGAAGTAATGTGAATGGTGCTATTCTAGCTACGAATGGTACGAAAGCAGGAGGCGCAGGCGGCATGCCGACAAAATTTATTAATTTCAGAATTGTGGACCATAGTCCAGAGAGTATTCTGAATTTTTTTAATAGCTTTGTTGATTCCGTTTCCTATCTAGGAGTGTGGAGTACAGCTATCCTCCAACCGGTGTTTAAGAATAAAAGTATCACGAACTGCCCAGAAAATTCTCGTGGCATTAGTGTTTTACGAGCGCTAAGTAAAATTGTTCTATAAAATTCTCAACGTTGGACTGAGTGAATGGGTGAAAAAATACATTAAAATCTGACAATTGCAGGCAGGTTTTAGGAGAGGCTTCGCGACCACTGACAAAATCTTCGCGTTACACTAGTAAAACAAGGCACTTTCACGTAGATGAGCCATTTATACAGAAGTTTTGTGGATTTCGAAAAGACTTTTGATTGAATCAATAAGAAAGCTTCGTGGCGAAAACAAGGTGAACTAGGCGTTTCAAGTAAAGTTTCAAATGTGTGGCAAAGCATGGACAGAAAAGTAAATGTCTGCGTCAGGTGCGACGACGGAAAAATGTAAAACTGCAATGTAAAAAATAAAATCTCAGTAAGACTAAGAAGGATTGTCCTCTTTCACCGCTATCGTTTATCTTTTTCATACACGACTGAATGACTTGGGTACAGGAAGCGGACACATCTGCGCCGGAAACTGACATCAATGAAAATTCCAGGATTATACGCTGATGATTTAGTTCTATGTTCAGAAACTATTGAGAGATTACAGATGAGTTCAAACATCCTAGAAAGGTAGAATAAGACATGGGAACTAAAAGAAAATATTTTAAAAACGAAAATTGTTGTCTTCAAGAATGGGTTTATTTGGGGTACCAAAAACAAAAATGGTATTACGCGCAGGTTGAGGTCGACCTTTCAAAACTTTCATGTATCTCGCCAGCGGAGGGCTCTGACTTCCTTACGGGATCGTCAGCTTCCCAGCTGAGTCTTCCTCTGTGCACATAGGTGGAGGACGGGAATGGCTCCGCCACCAGTACTGCAGGTTCGGAAATAGTTGTTGGACAAGCAACTCAATGTGCTCCTTCCTTTTGGACCAGACTCAAACGCCGTCTAAAGTTTTAATTTCCGAGTGCCTCTGCTCATATATCTCTGACACACACAGAACGATCAAATTACAGATATGTAGTGGGAACAATCTCGATATTGGTCTCAGACTTTTGCCATGGGCTTGCTGAGTGTCCCGTTCATTTTATTGCCGCGTGTCTTAAATGTTCACCAAAGGTGAAGCCCTGATATTTGACGAATGGCTTTGCCCAATAACCTTTCTGTCGACATGAACGTAGTTCAGCGATGGTATCTGCTTTCTTGGCAGCAGATCGAGCTTCTTCTCAGGCGCTAGTTCGAGTCTATGGACTACAATTCAAGTTCTATCATGTGTCATTACTTGGTTGGATTTCTACTGTATCTCTAGGGCATACCTGAAAAGATCTCTGTAATGTCATAATGTCACTCTATCAGAGGTGCGTTTCCTGGCAGTTTTGGCATGGTCTAATAAGCGACGTTCAATAGGTTTGTTCATTGGATCCATCATTGCCATACACCCGCCGTGATATCGCGTTTACGAGGCAAGGTCATAAATTGACCCAGGTTAAAGTTACGGGATAGTTAGAAGTAGTAATCGTAAAACAATACTGCACCTCGACTGCTACGGTCATTAGTCCCAGAATTATCGAGAATGTTTTAATCACATGAGTTGGCGGCATTCTTGCTCTGCTGGAAGGTGAGTTCTGGTGCTAACCTACAGGTCAGCTTGCGATATTTTTGCCATCCAGGCATCTCCCACTAGAGGTGAGTAAGTGTGAATGAAAGGGGTGAAGATAGGACAAGAAAGAGGAAGGAAAGATCGCACGCAGTCCGTGGCCAGTTTGTTAATGTACTGCTCCAGTATTTGCCTGATGTTGATCAGGGAGACCATGGAAAACTACTAATCGGAGCAGCTAGACGCTACAATTCTCCTCCAGAGAGCGACAGTATTTGACTCGGCTATATGGCTAGTGTCGAAAATACTGACCTCTCGGACAGAAGGACTACAGTGACAACAGTTGATGTCTGAGTCACCGCAGCCAACTATAAGAAAATTATAAGAGTTAATCCTTGACCTATATACAAATTTTCATTGAAAATATTTTGAGAAAATGACAATTTCAATACTAGCGCCAAAACAGTTCAGCTAATTTTCTCCAAAATTGATAGTTCTCATTAATATACAGGAACTCATGGCTCTCTGAGTTTGAAACGGATACGTTGATTTTGAGTAGGTACTGAACATGAAAGTACGACGATATATCAATAATGACTAAAAATTGCTACAATATGTTTTATTAAACTTTATCTTCAGCAACAAGGGTGCTTAAAAATGGCGCAGATCCAATTTTCGTGGAAATCCATTATTCAAAAAAGGCAAAAGTTTGATTAAAAAAAAGTTTGTTACAAAAGGTCGTGTGCATTTTTTGAAGCAGAGAGTAGTTTTCGCGTAATTTCTGCTTGGGATTAATGCAATTTTTAACAAACATTTGTCAAAACTGCTCAATTTTTTCTTTAATTTTGTTTTTTCCTGATAAAACCAGGGACACTTAAAACATGGCGAGGTGTTACTTTCGTTGAACTCTCTGAAGTTTCAAAATAGCAAAAGAAACAAAACAGGGCGAGAACGTAAGTGCTGTTGTAGCACCTCCAGTTCAATATCATGGGACTACACAACTTGTTTTTTCCTTTGAAATTCCGAAAACAATTTTCCGCAGCATTACATACCTTTCTCTACGACGTACGTATAAGAGCAAGTACAAACTGAACATCCAGAGAATCAAAGAACTTTCTGGATATCTTACCAAATTTATCGAAAAGTTCTTCAACAAGCGTAAGAATAGTAGCATGACTTGACTCTGGATGTCGAAAAGCAAGGAATTCGTCCAAAGTTAAATGATCAGGATCATTTCGGGCAGCTTCTGACCAAGATGCTCGGTCTCTCATTATTGCCTCTGAAAAGAAAAAAGTACAAGCTGTTAACATGCTATGAAATGTTCAATCACAATATACAAAGGAAAACTACTGAAGTATTTTTTTTTAGTTTGAAGTAAAATAATTTGAGAGGATTGATTCAGATTTTTTTTTTTTTTTTTTTTTTAAGCGAAATCGGCCATCATGGGGCCACGCGATAAGTGCATCCCACCGGATCTCAGCTTTGAATATTGGGGTAGGTGCACGTTACTTTCTATTGGGGGAATAAGCATTTGTACGCTGATTCCATTTTTACACCCCAGGGTCGTTAGCACTGGGGGATGGGATGAAATTGCGATGTTGAATGATGAAATAGACACACACACAAACATTAAGAGACACACACAACAACCATGTCCGAGGCGGGACTCGAACGCGCGATCCTTCGGTCCGAGATCGCTACGGCACTACTGCCTTAGCGATCTCGGCCACCGGATCGGCTTCAGATATTATTATTATTATTATTATTATTATTATTATTATTATTATTATTATTATTATTATTTGGTGGGGTTAAAAGACCTGGTCAGCACTGACCGCATGTAAACTGGGGTAGCTCATGTGCTTTTTGTTTTCCGCGGCTCAAAGCCACGATCGGAATTCCAGATACGTAGTTTTAGGGGATAAAGGCTTAGTGAACGCAAAAATGCCAGTAAATGCGCGACGAAAGGAAGGTCATCAGTCTCGAAGTTACCTGTTGATGCCTATGAAGTCATATATACATAAAATTAAAAGAAATTTACAGATGCAATTATCTCGTTGAATAAAACCACACACATAATGTAAAATTATATCAATGGCCGCATACGATCTATTACACAAAGTTCAAGAATACGTCTTAAAACATATAAATACATTCAATAACACAATAATTTTAAATTGGCTGAAGCGAGGCCAGTAGTACATAAAAATATCTTCTTTTTGTCTCAAACCTAATTCTTAAGACCACTTTCTCGCAAAAAGGAAAAGAAATTAGAAAGAGCGGACTCGCTGAGCACCTCCTGAATAGAACTGTCCAGACGGTGTCGGCATTGGCTACTATTGTAAAAAGTGGTGTTCCACGGAGAGGTCCGTCTTACATAATACATAACACATTATGTGTGACATATGTCGCACACGGGAGGAGGATCTCTTCGCGAGAAAAAAAAACATGCGAAAAGTGGCCGATCCGAAAAGTGTAAAAATTACATCTTGACGCCTAGCAGCACTGAAAAGGTACACCACGGCTTCGCAGAATTTAAACGAGTCTCAATTTAACAGTAGCATGGTGCCACTCTGACTGCCATACTGAGTTTGGAGATGGGTTTAGTAACGCCTTTGAATCTCCAGAGGCAGTGGGAATGTCAATGTCAAGGAGTTCCGAATGCTGATTTCGCAGCATGGTCAGCTAATTCATTACCTGTATACCCACAAGTCCCGGTAACCAATAAAGCACTAGTAGATGGTAGAGAATTGATGACCCAGGTCATGGTTGATTCTACAGCATTATATGAAAACGGATACCTGGAGGATTGACAGTGATGGCTTCAAGGGCGAACCAACCTATGTGGTTACGGTCCAAAATAATATTTTTATTGCAGCCAAATAGCCATATAAACTACATTGAATACCCTCCACAACCCACATATTATTGATTTGCATAGTCTTTGATTGATAGCTGTCTTTTACTGTGGAGTTCTATGTGATAGCATTCACAAATCTGTTCACCTAGTTTCCATTCATACGTTTCTGTTGGTTTATGAAAAGCTGCGTTGTTACAAATCATATGGTGGAAGCCATGTACTGCCATTCTTGTTAGCACGTGCCTCATTTTGAAGTTGGCTGCTGTCCATGTCTGGTTTATCATGGCCCCTGTCCCGTTAAAACTCTGGGGGTGTCTTCCCTTTTTCTTTCCAGCGATTCTAATAGCTTCTCTGAGGCGTCTGTGTTCGGATGAAACAAAAATGTCATGACGTCCTCTATGAGGAATGTTTCTCTTGCAAGAAGGTAGACGAGTCTGGATGTGGTGGTGTTTGATACTCCGATAGCTCTTTTAATATAGAGCGCTTTTCCTCATTCTAGTACAGATAGGTTCCTATACGAGTAGCTCCGGTGTGGCCATATGACTACTATCCCAATTGCCAGGATTAGCATGATCACTGTTCAGAATAGTGTAATTGCTGTCTCCAAGTTGAGGGTTTTGATGTAGTTTTCTTCGTGCATCGCCTTTGTGGCTTGCACTGCTTCCTCTGTTACATGCTTTGTAAAACATTTGCCACTTGTTTGTAATGTGACTCCCAGGTATTTCAACTCTTTTGCTATTGTTATTTTTCTGCCTTTGATATAGATTTCTGCCAAAACTGGGGCGCGTCTCCTTGCCTAAACACCAACTTTCCGCCTTTGAAATGCTTATATCGAACTTGTGTTCGCGGCACCATCCTTCCAAATCTTTTATTGTGTTTTGTAGCTTGCGGGCGTCTTTTGAACCTAACCTACAAACAGTTGAAAAAAGAGCCTGGCTTTTCGTGGGAAGACTGAAACAAGGAATCACAAAAGAATCAATAAAGAATTTCCTTGCGAAGAACGGAATAATATACGTAATTTGTGAAGAATTGGTAACGAAAAACAACACATAATCGTTCAAAGGAGGAGTTCCATTTAACTGTCAAGAAAGAGTTACAGCAGATGTTTTTGCCAAGAGGAATATCCATCAGACGTTTTCAATTTTTTTATGGGGAAAGCTGGGATCCCGCTCGATTAAACATCCCGATCCCGCTCGTAATTACTAAACAATCAAAAGAAACATAATGTGAAGACGAGAAGAAAGAAGGAAACAAATACTATGGTCTGGAATATAGAATGTTTAAAAAATACGTTGAGTTTAACACCAACTGCATGAATGGATACATTATTTTAACAGAATTTTTTCTCTGGTAGCATGCAGAATACTATTGTACGCATCTACTAGCAAAACGGAGAAAAGGGGATACCAAAAAGAGGAATAAGGGACCGAAATAACCTGACGGGTTGGATGTTCTGATAGCATGGAAAATTTCGCGCCGTAAGCCGCAAACAATTACGCGTCTTCTACTGAAAGATGGTTCCCCAGTCTGTCCAAGAGATACTTAATGCGAACGTTACTACGGCATGCGCCAATGGGCAAGCGGGTGTCAGCATTGTGGATGGCACTTGAAAATCGAAGGGTTGCTAAGGAAGTACATCCATAAATTATGGAATTATACTGCGCCACATGGATCTATCGAAGATGAGTTCCACGAACCTCATGTTGTCAACGAATTGATAACCCCTAGGAAAAGGTTTTGTGCTGTTTGTTATAGAGTTCCTGTTTCTACAGATGTGCAACCCTTTTTTCTCGGAACTAGTGCTGCTATTGTGATAATATAATTAACTTTAGATATACCACAAATGAAATATTGTGTCACGTAATAACAAAATGTATTTCGTCGTTACAATACACATGCAGCTTCTGGAAATCGTGGATTTTCACCTCTCGTCTTCTTGTAAATGTCATGGGATCTCCCCATGGACGATTACCAAAATTATTTATGGTAAACACACACAAATGCAAATAGGTATCGTGGCGATGCATAACGATGCCACATTAGAACAGCATATACTTTCTGACTAATTTGTAGCGCTTACGTAATATGAATTAACATTGCACTTTAATATTTCGGCCTTTTTTACCTCCTTCAGCAAACTGGATGTGAGATTTGAATTTGAATTTTTCTACGATGGTAATGAAATGAATATTTGTTCAAAATGTTTAAGACCACTTCGTTCTAATACGAAATCACTATAAAACATTATACCATTGTGATTTCTATCAACACAATTTGACAATTAACGGCGTACTTTAGACTTTAAAAAATATGTTAAAATACGACCCGGCGGCGGCTGCGGTGGAGTGGCAGTTGTCGATATACAGTTCAGACAGCGCAGCTGGAGCTTGTGAAAGCAACAAAAAGCGATTCGTTATCTTATACGCTTGGCGAATATTTCCTATCTATTCTTGCCAAAAACCCTCATTTTCATTTGTATTCAGAACTCGCTTATGGGTTAGGGTAGCGATTCTAGTATTTAAGAAAAAGTGCACATAACACACTTCTCATAGTACGTACACCTTAATTTTTCTAGGGTGGCCGCTGGGATTAGCGAGTAGAGGTGGAAGCTGAAAGTAGTGGGGAGGGAGCAAAGAGGCTGCGCTCTCTCGCGTCTGCCCATACCAAAAACATAAGCCTGTCGAGCACCACACAGGTTAGCGAACTTACTTGGAAATTAATTTAGTGTCTTCGTTCAGTAGTAGAGAAACACCAAATTCACCTGATGGCCCGACTCTGCTTTCATCATTTACATCTTTTCCACTCACGCCGACACCCTTTCCTCACCATCATAACTTGCATCACTCTACTAGTACAATCGTTTGCGCCGTTCTAGGTATAATTAATCATTTCTTGATTTTGTGTATTAAATCATTGTGCGGCTAATCACTCTCTCATTGAAACCGCCGAGAGCAGATTCCCTGTTCTTTCTCTTCCTCTTCGGAGTTGAAAATGAACTCGAATGAATCCCGATCCAATAGAATTCATTTTCTTATTAATTCTGCAAATAAATATTTTTGAAACACCCATAGCAACAGCGAAGAATTGCTTTGACGTTTTTAACATTATTTTGCTTCTCTTCATAAATTGATATACTTTTGCAATAAATTCACGCGTCTGACTGTGACGGACTTCCTTATACAACTTGCTCTGAACCGGACACATTGCAATAATCACACTACAACAACACAATAACAACAACACTCACAGAAACAAATTTTACGGATCACGTACAAATGCTTCACTCTAGTATGAAACTCAACAGCAAGCTTGCACTTCGCGGAAACGAAAAGCCGGGGTCAATGTTTACACGACTGGAGTAGGGCTGTCAACACGTGCTGGAAAGGGACGCGCTCCCCCTAAACGGTTAAGTTTGAGGA